TGACCTTGTAATCCACCTGCCTTGGCCTCCCAAAGCACTGGGATTACAGGCATGAGTCACCGACAGCAGGGGTTGACATGAATAGCCCTGGTCTAGAATTTGGTAAAGGGAGGTGGTAGCTCTGGGGCTCTGTGTTACTAAATCTAGCATGGGCAAAAGTCTCATTTCCTTTTGATACGTCCATCTGTCTATCATCCATCCATCCATCCTTCAATCTTTGTCCCAGGCCTTCTGTAACCAGGCTCTGAGTTAGACACTAAGCCAAACCATCACTGTTGCTGCTCTCACGGTTCTCACATTCTGCTGCAGCAGACAGACATGAATCAAGTCGCCATGCAGGTGCTTGGGTGATTTTGAAGTGATGGGCACTTTATAGGAAAGGCTTGTGCTGAGTAGCTCTCTGAGAGTAGTTAGGAAGGCTTCCCAGAGCAAGAAAGGTTCCAGCTGTGACCTGAAGTTGAGACAGAACTCACTAGACCAAGTGAAGGCAGGAGAAGAAAGCTCTGAGCAGGGAGCCTGGCTTGTGCAAGGGCCTGTGGGAGGAGGGAGCTTGGTGCTTTCCAAGAACTGAAATGATGCTGGGAGTGAGGAGAGAGTCGTGAGAGATGAAGCTGGAGAGGAGACAGCGGCTGCAGCATGTGTGCTGAAAAGACACACCACCCAGGCCAGGCACCGTGGCTCATGTTCGTCATCCGGGTGCGGTGGCTCACGCTTGTAATCCAGATGTGGTGGCTCATGCTTGTCATCCCAGCACTTTGGGAGCCCAAGACAGGTGGATCTCTTGAGCCCAGGAATTCAAGACCAGCCTGGGCAACAAACTGAGACCCCATCTTACAAAAAACAAAAACTAGCTGGATGTGGTGATACAGGCCTGTGGTCCCAGCTACATAGGAGGCTGAGGCAGGAGGATCGCTTGAGCTCAGGAGGTCGAGGCTGAGGGAGCCAAGATGGCACCATTGCACTCCAACCTGGGCAACAGAGCAAGAACCTGTCTCAAACAACAACAACAACAACAACAACAACAACAAAGATTTCTCTGGCTACAGTGTAGAAGGATGGGAGTAGAAGAACCAGAAGAACAGAGCAGTGAGGAGGCCGTGGCAGTGTCCACTCAAGGGATGCTAGTAGGATGTGGCCAGGATGAAAAGAAGCAGACGGACATGAGGGATATGAGCGAGGCCAGAGTGACAAGACCATGCATGGGCTGGCCATGCGGGTGGGAGAGGAAGGGGTTGGGGGGCTCCCCAAGCTTCCAGCCATGCCCACCTGGATCGACTGTGGTGCTGATCAGAGAGCGAGGGAACACAGGAATGGACCCGCCTTGCTACATTCAAAGGAAGACGTCCAGGAGGCAGTTGGACGTTCGGATCTGGAGCTCAAGGGAGAGGTGAGAACTGGAAATGGAGACGCGGGGGCCCTCAGCATGTGGACGGCTGTGGAGTTGGAAGCCATGCGTGTGATGAGCTAGCCGAGGCAGTGCGAAGAAAGGGTCCCAGAATTGAGCCCTGGCAGAACACCACTGTTGCGGAAGTTGGAAGAACGTGCAAAGGCCCTAGGGCAGGAGCGGTGGAAAAAAAAGAAAACCAAGAGTGGCATGAACACAGCAGAGCCTGTGTGGTTTCAGGAACTGGGAGTGGCCCTCAGCATCCATGATGCCGAGTGCTCAAGGGAGGTGATGGGAAGATCTAGAAAGTGAGAGACATGACCGGGCACGGTGGATCATGCCTATAATCCCAGCACTTTGGGAGGCTGAGGCAGGTGGATCATGAGGTCAGGAGTTCGA